ATAATATTTGAGCATCCTCTTTCTATTACAGGACATTTAGGTAGCTTCCAAATTCTTGCTATTCTAGATATGGCTGTGATAACTGTCTTCTGTATAACAGTGTTTCTCAGCTTGGAGGTCACTATGTCTCCCAGGGGACATTTGGCAATGTCTGGAGACACTGGTTGTCACAACTATAGGTCTACTGGCATCTAAAAAGTGGAGACCAGGAATGCTCCTAAACATTCTACAATGCACACGGCAGCTCCCACAAGGAATTATTCCCTCAAAATGATAATACTGCCAAGGTTGAGAAGCCGTGCTGCACACAGTCATTTCTAGCATCAGATTATCTTCCTGGGTATATCCACTACCTCAGGGGGAGAAAAGGAATATTACTCTCTGGGAACCACGGTGAGTTCGGAATCGGTCAGAACTGAGGCGGGTTACAACTCTGCTAAGACTCAGGGACTGAGGCCCTCCTGAGCCTTAGTTTACCCCTTTCTAAAATAGAAACAATTCCTATTTCATATGCGGTTCATATACAAGATGCCTCTTTCGGTGCCAGGGGCACAGGTGTTGCTGTTGTTATTAAAGGGATGAGGCCATAGTCACGCTTCAAATATAAAACAAACCCAAATCTGAAAACAAGGCTTCCTGGGCCTGCCCGGGATAATTACACCCAGGGAGCCAGAAACTCTGGGGAGGCGGCTGGGGAGTAGTCATGCCAGACTTACTGGCGGGGGGCTTGGGTTCGAGGTCCCCTCCCAAGGGCCAGGAGCTCCCGGCACCTGCCTCACACAGACAGGTGAGGAGAATAGTCCAGGGATGGATCAGGGGAGTGACTACAGCCCAGCTAGTCACAACCTCCACACTCACCTGCCTGAAAGCTTCCTTCCAAGGCGGCGAGCCTACCACTTTGTACAGCGAGCGACGCGAAGATTCTGATGGCTCTGCCATGGCCTTTTCGCGGGAGCAGCCGCCACAAGGCCCCACCCTTTCGGAGCGTGCAGAATTCTGGGACTGGTAGTTTCTCAACGCTCAACGTTCTAGGTAGGGGGCAGGGAATTCTGGGAAGTGTTGTTTTACAGGCCCACCCCACACGGAGACAGGTTGACATCTGTAAGGTAAATCCAACCTGGATTGAGCGAGAGGGAGGTGAATCTTGAGGGAAGGTTTTGGACATTTTGACATGTGTGAGGTAAACCCAACATGGATTGAGCGAGAGAGAGGTGAATCTTGGTTTTGGATGTCTGGGTTTATGCAGGTGGAGGTGCTCAATAGGCAGTTAAATACCCAGATCTCAGACTGTCCCCGAGATACGAGACTGCGCAGCACCAAACTTTTCCTAAGCAGGCGCTGGTCTGTTGACGTATTCTTCTCGCCCCCTTTCGGCTTCAGAATAAGTGCTTGACTGGTGATTGGCTCTTCTCTGGTAAATGGGCGGGCCTCACCCTCGCCCCGCCCCAGGTTTTACCTCGTGTCTCCGGGCCGTGTGCTCCATGATTGGCCACAGTAGTGGACGGCTAGCCTTGGATTGGCTGCGCTCAGCGGCGGGCTGAGCAACTGGAATGAGGCGAGCAGTTGGGCCAAGATGGCGGCTGCTGAGGATCCTGTGGAAGGCGGTGATCTGTGGCATACCCGGCT